GTACTGCTCTATTCCTTGCATTATTTTTTTTTCAGTGAGGGGAATATAAAGGAACTAATGGTTAGGCGCTCATGACGTTTTGGGGGGGGGGGGGGCGCACAATAAAGCGAGTGAATCACTTATAGCGCTTGGGCGTAGACCCACCTGGTAGAGGGGGAAGGGACTCTGGAGTAGGATGTGAGCAGATTGTATTCTCCCTAGCGTTTCTCCCCTCTCCTGAGCATAGCCCCAACTACCATCGGCCCTGTTTTGAATCCTCCTCCTCCCCCTCCCCCCTCCCAAGGACAGAGCGGCCGAGGTTATTTGGGTTCACAGTGGCAGTAAGGACTCATACTTTCAATTTTGCGTCAAAATCAACTCGAACTTTCAGATATTGAACCGAACAGCGTTAAAACGGCAGAAATGGAAGTTTCAGCCTATACACCACCGCCCAGTGAGACAGACGTCGATATGGAACGTGGGTGATAGCCAGATATAAGATGTTATTTCGGCTCAGGGTAGCTAGTCATTAGTTATTCGCGGGTGTTTAGCATTTCTTTGTGAACTGTAGTAGGCTGCAAGTATGCCACCGCACTCAGCAAACTGAAAGCCTTGAAAATGCCCACGCTTGAAGATGAAAGCAGAAATGGAAAGTAGTACAATAAGTGTTTGTTAATTTAGAATCGGTAATGGAAAATAGAAAGTCTAAAGAGACGGTTCGAAATTCCGAAGGAACCGCCATTTTGCTAGGTTATTTTCGCGCTGGACGAGATTCCACGATGGGTGACGTCACTAGCGCCCGAACACTTACCGCATTTGGCAATGGCTCACTGTGGTAACCACAGGCGTTGTTGTTGATTTTCGCTGCTGAAACTTGCCTAATATTCTCTTACCACCTTCCAACCAACCAGGCTAAAGCATTAATCTCCTCATAGTAATTGTTTGACGACCCTCACATGACCGTAACGGTTAAGGTGCAGTTGTGTGGGCCAATGCTGCTCCTTATGCCTTAGCGCCTCGGGCCTTGTCAAATCATCCCTGGAGTTTTGTTCGTGCTCCCGCTTACTAACAACACCGCATTTTCTCGGAGAAGGGCTCAATTTCGACCTAAAATCCGACCTTGCCTTTTAAACTATGTAGTTACTAATCGAAATTTTTCTCCACAGACTTCACTACACTTATTTTACTTAATTTTTAGCCGAATCACTGCAAAATCATTCAGAAGACGTTGTTGGAGGAGCGTCACCAATGAGCACTGCAGTCACTGGAAGTATCTCGTGGTACAGTATGCCACCGTCAGAGACAAATGTCGAATGTTTGTTTTTCTGCGCTGGCCTATGAAAATGAGGGCTTTTTGTAAAATATTGCATTCAATAGTAGAGTTTCATCAGTGCCAACAAGCATGGGCGGGGATCGTAGTAAATTTGTCGAGGCTGTAGAAGATATTGAAGGCCACGCGAACGAAGGGTTACTCAGATGTCAAGGTGAGTTGGGGAATTTATAACGAGGCTATTGTGACCAAAAGGGCGTAGCTTTCGTTAAATGGGTAAAGGGGAAGAAATAAACGGAAACCAGAACGTATACATCCACACTCAAGTGCTGATAGCTGAAGATATAGTTTACCTAGGCTGCCTTAGGCCGGTGTCAGACTTTGCGAACCCAGCGATCCGCTCTGGCGACTGAGCGGACTCGCTACTAGTGATTCGCAAAATGTGACACCGGCCTCAGAAACTTGCGAATCAAGTCAGCATGGAAGTGCAATTGGGAGAATGTCCGCTTGAGAGCAGAATTCTGCTGGTTTCTAATTTCTGATGGCTTTTATTGCGTTACTGTATCCCTCTAGAAGTACTAGACTGGACATAAAAATCCAGCCACTATTTAGCAGGCTAGAGTCTCGCTCGTTATCGGAATAAACCAGACAAATCGCTCCACCAACTAAGAACGGCCATGCACCACCAACCACCAAATCGAGAAAGAGCTTTCAATCTGTCAATCCTTACGGTGTCCGGGCCGGGTGAGTTTTCCCGTGTTGAGTCAAATTAAGCCGCAGGCTCCACATGTGGTAACTTATAGCCTACGCCTGACACTGCAGAGAATACGGTAAAATGCCCTAACTTGCAGTAACCGCAATTGCATTTTCTCGTGATTGAGGATAAGTGCGAGAGAACAATGTAGACCTCACCACCTTTGTCAATTTTGCCATCGATTGACATTTTACAAATCAACTGCTTGTTATCGAGTATGTCATTCGGTATAAGGGATGGCACAAAAGGCTATAAAACCTTATGTATGAGCTTTTTTTTTCAATTTTTCGAACAGATTTTACTACACAGATGTTAGGCTGTTAGGAATAGTTACCATATAGACTCCATTTATATATAGCTGGAAATATTTATTCAGATTACCTAGAGGGCCTTGCGCTCAACGAATCGGCCGTAGGCTCAGAACTGAACAAGGCGTTTCTGGAGGCGGAGGAAACAGATAAAGAAAGAACAGGTACATGTAGATCATTGAAAAACAAAACTGTTCATACCTTATACAGTTCAACCTCTCTTGCTAAATGCGCCACGCACCCAACTTCCATTCAAACAAGTCGATGTGCTTGAATGGGTCACTGGTCAGGATATGTCTGAGTAGACCAGTCGACGTTTCACCCAACAATTTAGGTTTACTAGCCTTGTCCCACTGCATCCGCCGGGACCTCCTTTCATAGTGTATGCTTACGCCTCCCGTTGTGCTCACTTCCACTTATTAGGTCCACACCTTATCGAAAGGGAAGGTATACACAAAAAGGATATTTTGTTATAGTAGAGGATCTCATCGCAATCGTTACATCACCTTAGAATGAACTTAAAGGCAAAAGTCAGGCTCGTGTTTGGGCATTATGGCGCCTGAAATTGAGTGTAGAGATGGGAGGTGGAACGACAGTGAAGAAAAAACGCAAAGAAACCGTCGACAAGACCGAAATCGAAACCCCTTCCCTTCTAGCAGTGAAGGAGGCTTGCTCGGGGGAGAGCCACGTCCAAACGAGTTTTCCGGATATGCCAGCCGTTCCATCGGTTGATACGGCAATCAACCTAGCTGATCTCACACGTTAGGCCAGCCACGCACCACATCCCGCGGTGGGCGGGACCAGCTGATGAAACGA